GGCATCTCTACAATGGTCATAGAATATTTAGAACCGATACAGTGTACAAGAATGATGATCCAATTATCCCCACGTTAACAAGAGAATTCAGAGCTTCCAGGAGAAGAGAAGGTAAAAGACAGAATTTGATTAGGTCTGTGCTACAATATATGTGTAACATGGTTGGGAAGGTAGATGTGATCGCATTGTACTACATTGAACGCGATGAAACCGGACGAGGCATCCAACGTTGACATGGATCGTCATAATAAGTCTGCTGCTATTCCTCCATAGCTTCATCAATGGATCTCAGTGCCCATGCCTTTCCACCACTTTTTATCAAGACCGGCCATCGCCGCCAAATGGTATTTGCAGCTTTTCTAACAGCCGTCCCTGCTGTAACATGCATTGTAGCGCCAGTCATAGCTGCCCCTTCGCCGGACATTCATCTTCTCTGCATGCGCATGCAAAGTCTCGACAAGCCAGGTAGGGTTTTCAAGTTTTCCCATTTTCATGAAGTATGAGGCGGCCGGGAGTTCTGTAGTGGGATCAGGATACGGAATCATCCATGTTTCATGTGTTTGAATTTCCTCTGTGGTACGTTTTGACTGATATCGGATAACGAAAACGTCGAGCAATTCGCGCAGCAACTCGTTGAGATGCTGGACGGCAAAGCAAGGCATCGCAGAATAACGGTTCAACAGTTCGATCTTCACAGAACCGCCAGATGTACCCTCGATGTCGGTTATAGAGTGCTCAAGCCACATCATCAAGTCGTGGTGGAGTTCAGTCGGTGAATGTGAATGTTCGGTATGTCGGAGGACAATGTGAAGGAGAACCCATAAGGCAGATTATCGGTCTTCAACAGTCATGAATTTCCAGACACCCTAGATATATATGATATAATGAAACAAGCTTGCGGAATTTTATGAAAAACCTACGGTTCTCTGTGAATGGTCGTCACCGTTTCGGTCCATAAGAATAATGCACTCATCGGATTCAATGAGAAATCCTCCATGATTTAGGGTGATCATGATGTGTCCGGCACAAATATGACGGTGCAGAATGTGGGCACTGTCGATGTGCTTCTACCGGGCTTTTCTACTAGGATACGCCTGAACATGAGGGGAATGAGTTGAACATGACTTGACTTACAGGCATCATTATTGAAGACCTATGTAGGCCATTCCCAATAGGAAACCTCTATTGAGTAGCTGGCGGTTGTAGATCCAAAGACGCGACATGTGCTCAGATGTATCTAGAATCGAAGCGGTGCAAACGATGAGAAGATGAGAAGAATCATGGATGCATCATGGAGGATCGTAGGATTGGGAATGTTGGCAAAAAAAAAAGGTATCCCCAATGCTTAGATCACTTTCTTTGAGGCTATAGACGAGATGGATATCTGATACTTGTCAACCCTCCCCTAACATCAGGTTCTGATTTCTGGAAAGGAGGCAAACCACATTCATATATCATTGGGAAGGGAAGAGGGAAGACGTAGCCATTGAGAATGATTCACAAGGTGTCTGTGTCTGACTCGAACCTTGCTCGACGTTTACCGAAAAAAGCCACGGTCTTTCTACTCGATAACGGTCTGCCTCATGAGAATGCACACCAACAAAAAGCAGGATAAAAAAAATGAAATAAAATTGCATTACTCCCCACTCAACGTCTGGCCTCCATCGACCAAAACGCTGCTCCCAACCATGAACCCATTCCTCAGCGAGCTCATCATAACAATGAGGTCGCCAATTTCCCCCGCCTCTCCAAACCGGCCAAGAGGGCACCCGTCGATGATGCGCTTTGCAGCTTCGGGCATGGCGGCAGGGTGTGAAGCGAGACCCTCGGTGTAGATGTAGCCCGGGAGGATGGCGTTGATGCGGATGCTGTTCGAGGCATGGTCTTGGGCTGCAACGAATTAATTAGTAGAGAAGGGCGGTAGGGGTGAAGAGTGTACCCGCAGCTTTCGTCAACCCATTTGCTGTGTATTTGGTGTGAGTGTAGGCGCCTCCGTCAGGTAGGGCGATCACTGCTGCTGCGGCGCTGAGCACGACGATGCTCCCACGCTCAGCAGGGCGCTTGGGAGACGCGATCGGCGTGATGAGCCGTTCTTGTTTCTCCATGATGCTGATTTGCTCCCGCACCAGCCAGAAGATACCGTTGATATTTGTTTGCTGGATGGCGACCCAGTCTTCGGTTGGTATGGAGGAGAATTTCGCCTTGGTTCCCATCGTCTGGACAAAAACATCAGGGCCCCGGGTTTTTAGATAAGAAGAGAGGAGAGGAGGGAACCCACCCTGCCGATGTTCGCACAATAATCGACTCATCCAAAATGATCTACAGCGGTCTTCATAAGGTTCTTGACGGACTCTTCGATGCTTATATCGGTAGGGACGACGAGGATGTCGAGATCCATGTTCTCGGCTATGGCTTTGCATTCAAGCGCAGTGGCGTGCAGAGGAG